TGTCAGGAGCACCCTTCCCACCCAGTCTTGGCAACCGAAAGTGTCCCCAGATACTGTGCAGTGTCCAGGGGCTGAACTGCCTTAGGCTGAGAACCACCAGACTAAGGGAACTCTAAATCTAAAGCACTCTAGATCTGTGCTGACGACACAGTGGCCACCGAGTATTTGAACTGCGGCTGGTCCAAACAGATGTGCTGTGATGCAAGACGCACACTGGATTTTGAAGCCTTAGCGTGAAGGAAAGAATGTAAATGGTCTCAACCACAGTTTTTGTATACTGAGATGATACTATTTCGATTCTGTTGAGCTAAATAAAATGTATTATTAAAACTAATTTATCTTGTTTCTGTTTTTTGATGTGGCTACTAGAAAACTCAAAATGGCACATGTTTGCATTCTGTGTCTCGTGGGCGGTGTTGGTTGCCCCCGCACAGAGGCTGGTACACGGTTGGTGCCCAGTATGTGCAGTTCCTGCCCTCAAAGCCAGACATAGGCAAGGTTAGAAGTTTGGATTTGTTTATGGCACAGGGAGAGCCAAGGGATGTTTTGTAAGCAGAACATAGACATGGGGGTGACTTTCGATTCCAAAAGATCATTTGGTTCTTGTGCAGAAAATGGGTTGCAGGAGAAGAAGGGAGATGAGTGAATCTGGGGGCAGTGACTGAAGAAGGAACTAGAGGATTCAGGAAGAGATGGAGGGAGTGGAGAGAGGGAAGAACCAGGGCCCTTGGTAGGGACACCTGCTCACCATAACTGCTATAAATAATATCAGCTCCACCTGGCATATTGCTGAGACTTTTTCCTTTGCTGGCTTTGAAAAACTAAGCAGCCAAGTTAGGAGGCCACCTGGCCAGAGCCAGTTGGAAGGGGGCTCCCAGTCCTACAACCACAAGGAAATAAATCCTGCCACAACCCGAGGGAGCTGGGAAGTGGATGTTCCCTGTTGGAGCTTCCCGGGTCAGCCCTCAGCCCCGCCAATAGCAGCCTGAGCCGAGGACATAACTCTGCTGCCCTCAGAAACTGTGACATACTAAATGTGGGTGTCTTTTAAGCCACCGAGTTTGGGGGACTTTGTTATGTGGCACAGAGAACCTATAACCTGGACCCGCACAGCTGCTGTCCACCAGAGAGGCCGCATCCCACCGGCCCAAAACTGAACTCTGGATCTTCTCTGAACACCTGCGTTTCCCCTCCCAGTCACAGGCAGCTCGATCGGGTCCTGTCCTCAGGCCCAAATGCTGGAGGCAGCACATCAGATGGGCCCACAAAACCCCTTGGTTTTAGTTTTAAAATAGATCCGGGACCCACCTGCTTGTTACCTCCTGCTCGACCACCAACTGGTGGAGCCTAACCCTTCCCCCCCATTTCCCACCCCCGCCTCCTCCCATCTCCCCCTAATTCCCCATCTCCTCTCTCCCCTCTCCCCCCACCCCCACTTCCATCCTCCTCATCTTCTCCCTCTCCCCATCTCCTGCCCCCACCGCCTCCCCCCCCTCCACCCCCACCTCCGTTCTCCTCCTCCCCATCTCCCGCCTCCACCCCCCACTTCCATCGTCCTCCTCCCCATCTCCCACCTCTCCCCCACCTCCACGCCTCACCTCCACCCTCCTCCTCATCTCCCTACTCTCCCCATCTCCTCCCCCCACGGCCTCCCCCATCTTCCCCATCTCCCCCATCTCTTCCCCTACATCCATCCCCCACCTCCATCCCCCATCTCCCCCCGCCCCACCAGCGCAATCCCATTCCTCCTCGCCTCCCGGCGCCACCCGCGGTCTGTTCTCCACGCGGCAGCCAGAGGGCGCTGGTGAGCACCGAGTTGGGCAGGTCCCTGCTCTGCCCCAGCCCTCCCCGGGACGGAGTTGGGCAGAGCTGGTGAGCACCGAGTTGGGCAGGTCCCTGCTCTGCCCCAGCCCTCCCCGGGACGGAGTTGGGCAGAGCTGGTGAGCACCGAGTTGGGAAGAGCCCCAGCTCTGCCCCGGGTGCCTCGGCGCGCGTAAAAGCCCCAGTCCTCTCCCGGGACCCTGCACGACCTGCTCCCTCTCTTTACCCATCACTCACTCCGCTCCAACCAATACGGGTCTCCTCGCCGTTCCTCCGGAATGCTAGGTGCACTCGAGGCTCAAGACCTTTGCACCTGCTGTGCCTTCTCCTCAGACCATCCCCTGGCTCCCTCCTCACCTCCTTTAGGTCTCTCTTGAATGTCACCTTCTCAGTGAGGCTTCCCCTGACCACTCCATTTCAAAACTGCAACTACCCACACCTCCAAGCCCTTCTTGGCCTCGATTTTTCTCCATGACTTTGCCGTCTAAAGTAATGTAAAACGCACTACTTTGCCTTCTAAAGTAATGTAAAACGCACTCACTCGTTTGTCTCTCTCAACAAAAAGGTGAGGAAGGGAGCTGACGGGTTTTGTTCACACCTGTTTTCCTAGCGCCTGAACCGTGCCTGGCACACAAATGAATAACAGTCGGATTGATAATTATGAGCATCAATGCTATCAGTTCAGTCCCTGCAGCCTCTTCTGGGCGTACTGAGGCCCAGAGCCTGCCGTCCATCACCTGGGCCCCCCCAGGCCGCATCATATTGCTGAGGCAGGAGCCTTGTGCCCTTTCCCAGTCCAGGCTTCCTTGTTCTATTTTGCTGATTTGCTCTCCTCTGTCAATGAATCAGATTGGATTAAAAACATGGCTCATTTGCCTGGGTTTAGAATTAGCTTCTCATTTACACGCCATTACTTGGCGGTGGTGAGGAGCTCTGAGCGAAAGTGAGTTGGCGGAGGGAAGCTGGTGTGATCAGCTGGAGGACTGGCTGGCGGGGGGGCATCTCTCGGATAAGCTCAGTCTGGTGATATTGCAGGACCTTGCGGTCTCCAAAACCTCCCCTTCAGCCTCAGGCAGTCATTCCTGTCTGTTTCCCACCCCGCATTAGCGCTTCGCTTCTTCCCATGTCACGATGGGGAAACTGAGGCAGTGGGGGCCAAGTCCCAGCTGGAACGTGGATGCAAGATCATCCTCCGGCCAGGACCCTGGTCCTTTCTCTGCCTGGTCCTGGGTCCTTGAGGCTGATCTCAGTGATGGTATCCCTGGGTTCCTGCACTTCTGGCCAGTTTTGGTCAGTGGGACAGACTGATTGGCAGCAGGAGGAGGTTGGGGTATTTACCTCCTGTCTCCCTCATCAGTGCCTAGTTCTGTTCACAGTGCTGAGGTTTGTGCTGCTTCTGGAAAGAAGCAAGTGGCTTGTCCAATGTGGGGGGCCCAGAGGTGACTGAGAAAGGAGCTGGCTGTGGGCTGGTTTGTCGGCCAAGGTGCCCCAGGTGGAGGGAGCTCGAGTAGGCACCCTGAGGTGGGACCTGCTTGGAATGGCTTCAAAGACTAAGAGTGCAGCTGTGACCAGAGGAGAATGAGTGCAGACCGAAGGGTCAGAGGCCAGGGCAGAGGGGAGGAGGGCCAAGACTGTGCCTGGCATGGCCTCGTGTGCCAGCGAGGGCTTGGATTTTATCTTTGGGGCTGTAGGAGTCCACAGTGGGTTTTCAGCACTCCCAGAACACTGAGCTGGGATTAGAGTTTGGGAGAAGCCCTTGACCCTAAACTTTGAACTAAAATCTGAGTCAGAATGTCCTGATTCAACTCCTGGCTCTAGCTGCTAAGTTACTCAGGGACATGCACATGTCACCTCCCCTCTCTGAGCCTCAGTTTCCCTATCTATGACCACAAATGAGGTTTAGCCACGGCATTTCCCTCAATGGGATGCTGAGATAATTAACCAACATGATGCACATGAGGTGCCTGAGCATAAAAAGGATGGGAGTTTTTTTGCTGGTAGCTTCACATAGACCCTATCATCCCTTTAAGGCGTGTGGGTCTGTAATGATGTCTCTTTTCCATTCTTGATATTGGTCATTTATGTTCTTTCTCATTGTTTTTTGGTCATTCTACCTTGAGCTTTATCAAATTTGTTGATCTTTTTAAAGAACCAGCTTTGGGGGGGAGGGGCTTTGTCGATTCCTTCTACAGTTTTCCATTTCATGCATTTCTACTATTATGTCTTTGATTTCCTCCCTTCCACTTATTCTTCTCTTTCTAGCTTCTTAAGGTGGAACCTGAGGTCACTGGTTTTAAGATCTTTCTTCTCCCCCCCCCTTTTTTTTTAAAGATTTTATTTATTCATTTGAGAGAGAGAATGGGAGAGCATGAGAGGGGGGAGGGTCAGAGGGAGAAGTAGACTCCCCGCTGAGCAGGGAGCCCGATGCGGGACTCGATCCTGGGACTCCAGGATCATGACCTGAACTGAAGGCAGTCGCTTAACCAACTGAGCCACCCAGGCGCCCCTCCCCCCTTTTTTCTAATATAAACATTTCAGACTCGTTTCATGAACTTTTTAACATTTTGATTAAAAAGTTAAAAAACTATAGGATGTATTAAAATTACATTGAGGAGTGAATTGCATCATATGTGAATTGTCACTCAATAAAGCTGTTAAAGGTGACAGTGCAAAACGGCCTGGCAACACAGCGACACACATGGAAGACATAGGAATTTGAATTCTTAGAGCCTGACACAGCGGTTGCCTTTAGTGCAGGTAGAGAAATAAACTCTAGTTGGGGGGTAAATCTCTGTTGGCTTCTGGGAGGCCGTGGGTTGTCCTGGAGGACCGCCATTGCCCTCTTGCCATCTTTGCCTCTGCCCCAGGGCCTTTGCACGGCCATTCCCTTAAGACATGCTCTCCTTTCACCTTCTCAATTCAGTGACCTGTCCTCCTGCCCCAACACTTGGCCTGCACCTGCACTGCCATCGAGGGCTCCCAGCCTGGCCTTGTGTTTTCTAGCACATTTAACACCTTCTTATATACTATTTGCTCATTTATTAATTCATTGTTTATTTCCTTTGTCCCCTACTGAGAACATCAGCTCCTCATCTGTCTATTCCTTCATGTCCCGCCAACCCAAACAGAACCTAGTACGCAGTAGGTGCTCAATAAGTGCATATTGGATGAAGGGAAGAAGGAGGGAAGGAATGCAAGCAGGCAGGTAGGCAAGTTTCTTGGCCTGAAGTTGCAATTCCCATACAGGGGCAAACTCACTGTATGACCTTGTGCTGTACCTCAGTTTCCCCAGCTGTAGAAATGGGGCCACACTGCCCAAGACCTCACCAGTCCCTTCTGCTACAAGGCTGTAGGTGTTGTGTTTATGGCTTTGGCTCTCTGGAGCCTTCTCTGGCCCCGGCTGCCCAGGTTGGCTGCTCCCTGGGGACCCGCTCTGCTGACACAGGATTCTTTCCTGGACTATCCAGCCCCAGGCCGACACTCGATCCTGGCCCCACTTCCAGGCCAGCATCCGCTGATCGGCCTGCTAGGGCCAGGGCCCCAAGACTCTGCTGAAGGACAAGGGACTGTCTGTGCAGTCTCCGGGGGGTGTGTGGTGAGGCCAGAGCCCTGCCAACATCAGCACAAGCCGCAAGGACTGAGGACAGTGCCGGGACCTGCGGCCCAGAGCTACTGCTGTGGAGGAGACGGCACCAGGCGTGGGTGCTGCCTGGCCCGTGTGCTCCTTGCAGCTCCTCACCTGCTCACCATGGGGACCCTCAGCTGCAGCCCTGATCCACGGCTGACCACAGCACCCCAGGGCTGGCGGGCCACTGAGTGCCAGATTCTGGAGACCCACTTGAGGAAGTCCTGCGGAATGGACACTGTGGAGAATGGTACGCTCCAGCTGTGGAGGAGGGAGGCCGTGGTGGTGGAAGCTTGCCCTGCTCTACTCTCCCCAGCTCCGCTGTGGCTTCTGGAAAGTTCTGGGAGCCCAGCTGGAGGTGGGAGTCTCTGACAAGTCCTTGCCCTTCCCCAAACCTCAGTTTTCCTCCCAGTAGGATGGGTGTGAACGTCACATTTCCGTTGGCTCTTGCGTGGGCTTCCACCCAACAAGAACTGAGCATTTCATGGGCAGGCACCGTGGCAGGGGCTGATGCTAGAGCAACGACAGAGTGGCAGAGGTTCGTGGGGGAGACAGACGCGAGGCGAAACAGATGAGAAGTCTTTGGTGTATCAATCAGTGAGGAGAACCTTGAACAACATAAAGCAGCAAGGAGAGAATAGATGAGTGTGAGGCTTGAAGGTCTGGACGTTCTGCAGGGGCCTGAACATTCCCAACCTGAGGCTAATCGTGCGTTCTCGGTGAGGCCCTGGCCCTGGCTTCCTGCATCTGTATGCAACAAAACAGCAGGAGTTAGGCTCCGGGGCCCTGATGTTCCTGCCGAGGCCACCAAACACTGCAACTGTGACAGCGTATCTCTGCATCTGGGCCTGGTTTCCCCACCTGTGACAGCTTGTCTCTGTGTCTGGGCCTCGGTTTCCCCACCCGTGACAACGCATCTCTGTGTCTGGGCCTCGGTTTCCCCACCCGTGACAGTGCATCTGTGTCTGGGCCTCGGTTTCCCCACCCGTGACAATGCATCTCTGTGTCTGGGCCTCAGTTTCCCCACCCGTGACAGTGCATCTCTGTGTCTGGGCCTCGGTTTCCCCACCCGTGACAACGCATCTCTGTGTCTGGGCCTCGGTTTCCCCACCCGTGACAACGCATCTCTGTGTCTGGGCCTCGGTTTCCCCACCCGTGACAACACATCTCTGTGTCTGGGCCTTGGTTTCCCCACCCGTGACAACGCATCTCTGTGTCTGGGCCTTGGTTTCCCCACCTGTGACAGCTTGTCTCTGTGTCTGGGCCTTGGTTTCTCCACCTGTGACAGCTTGTCTCTGTGTCTGAGCCTCGGTTTCCCCACCTGTGACAGTGCATCTCTGTGTCTGGGCCTCGGTTTCCCCACCTGTGACAACGCATCTCTGTGTCTGGGCCTCGGTTTCCCCACCCGTGACAACGCATCTCTGTGTCTGGGCCTCGGTTTCCCCACCCGTGACAGTGCATCTCTGTGTCTGGGCCTCGGTTTCCCCACCCGTGACAACGCATCTCTGTTCTGGGCCTCGGTTTCCCCACCTGTGACAATGCATCTCTGTTCTGGGCCTCGGTTTCCCCACCTGTGACAGTGTATCTCTGTGTCTGGGCCTCGGTTGTCCCAATGTGCCCTACAGCAGGAGGAGACTGCTGGCCCTGTGGCCCCTCCTACCTTTGACTCAGGTTTGACTCACAATGCCCCTCACTCACTTTCCCCCTGTGGGGGGGTGGGCAGCTCCCACCCCCACTCCTGCCATGGTGGGTGGCAGGCAGCCCAGGCGGGGGCTCAGGGGCTGGGCCCTGGGTTCCCGCCCCTGTGTCAGTGTCTGGAGCTGCAGGCTGTGACCTGAGGGCTTTGGTCGCAGGCTCAGGGCCAGGCTTATACGTCCTGCCGTCCACCGTGGGCTACATCAACCACGACTGCACCAGGGCGGTCAGTCCGGCCTACTCCCTCTTCTGGAGACCCCGCCCCAGTAAGATCGGTAAGATTGGGTGCCGGTGGGGGCTGGACGGGTGGGGGAGGGGCCCTCTGAGCCTCCCCTAGGTCCCTGAGGCCCCGCCCCCCGCTTGCGGAGTGACCCTGGGGAAGCTCTGTGTCCTCTGTGTCCTTGGATGAGAAGGGAAGGCAGAATGCAGCGTGCTGCCGAGCCCTGAGCCTGTCTCCTGGGCTTCGTGGCTTCCTTGCTGCCTGACTTTGGACTGGCTGCTCAGCAGCTCTGTGCCCCAGTGTCCTCCCCCACAAACAGTGACAGTATGCCCCTTACAGAGCTGTCCTCACATGAAACCAACAGGTGCCTGCAGACGTCCGTGAGCCAGGATCAGCGCCTGGTGCCTAGACAGCGCAGTGGAAATGGGCTTCACGGGGGTCCTAGCCTCAGTGTCTCCTCAGCAGGACGGGGCTCCTCACAGACAGCTGTGGAGAGGGCAGGGTGGTGCGGACAGCCCGTGGGCGGCGGGGCTGGCCTGGTCAGTGGGGTCCTTGCTTCCGCATCACCCACCTTGCCCCTGGCCAGAAGAGCTGCGTCAGGATGTGTGCGAGGGTCAGCACCATCAGTGCCGCTAACGTGGGTGGCCGTGGCCCCAGCTCACTGCTCATTCCTGTTAGTGGAATCGCTGCCACGTTCTAGCAACACTCTGCCCTTCACATGAATGCCCACAGACTCCGTCACCCCATTTTCTAGAGCTGAGGTCCCGGAGCGCCCTGGTTGGGGAGAGTCCCGCACGAGGACTTTGATTCACAGAGATGAAGGTTTGGGGTGGGGGTGGCTGACGGACGTGCGTGGCAGCAGCTTCTTCTCAGCCTTTAGAATCAGCAAAAATCCCAACCCAACCTGAAACAAAACTCCAGAAGCTCCAAGGAAGGGTTAAGAACTTCGCCTCTGGCCCAGAGCGGCCTGGGTTCCCCAGGGACATCCTGGGACAGAGGGACAGACAGGCTGGGGAGTCAGGGGTGGATGGGGGGCCAGGGTAGACTTTGCTGGCTCCCCAGGGAAGACTTCTTGGAGGGGGAGGCATGTGGTCTGGGCTTTGCAGGATGAGGGGCTCAGTAGAGCCCCCAGGAGAAAGGGACTCGGTAGGACTGGCAGCAGACGCATGGGCCTGGAGCTGGGATGTGTTTGTGCGCCAGCTCGCGTGTCGTGCCGCCCGGTGAGTCCGTGAGCTGGCGTGTTGTGCCGCCCGGCGAGTCCGTGCCAGCTCGCGTGTCGTGCCGCCCGGTGAGTCCGTGAGCTGGCGTGTCGTGCTGCCCTGTGAGTCCGTGCCAGCTCGCATGTCGTGCTGCCCGGTGAGTCCGTGCCAGCTCGCATGTCGTGCTGCCCGGTGAGTCCGTGAGCTGGCGTGTCGTGCCGCCCGGTGAGTCCGTGCCAGCTCGTGTGTCGTGCCGCCCGGTGAGGCCGTGCCAATTCGCGTGTTGTGCCGCCCGGTGAATCCGTGAGCTGGCGCGTCGTGCCGCCTGGTGAGTCCGTGCCAGCTCGCGTGTCGTGCCACCCGGTAAATCCGTGAGCTGGTGTGTCGTGCCGACCTGTGAGTCCGTGCCAGCTCGCGTGTCGTGCCGCCCGGTGAGTCCGTGCCAGCTCGCGTGTCGTGCCACCCGGTAAATCCGTGAGCTGGCGTGTCGTGCCGCCCAGTGAGTCCGTGCCAGCTCGCGTGTCGTGCCGCCCGGTGAGTCCGTGAGCTGGCGTGTCGTGCCGCCCTGTGAGTCCGTGCCAGCTCACATGTCGTGCCGCCCGGTGAGTCCGTGCCAGCTCGCGTGTCGTGCCGCCCGGTGAGTCCGTGAGCTGGCATGTCGTGCCGTCCGGTGAGTCCCTGCCAGCTCGCGTGTCGTGCCGCCCGGTGAGTCCGTGAGCTGGCGTGTCGTGCCGCCCGGTGAATCTGTGAGCTGGCGTGTCGTGCCGCCCGGCGAGTCCGTGCCAGCTCGCGTGTCGTGCCGCCCGGTGAGTCCGTGAGCTGGCGTGTCGTGCCGCCTGGTGAGTCCGTGCCAGCTCGCGTGTCATGCCACCCGGTGAATGCATGAGCTGGCGTGTCGTGCCGCCCGGTGAATCTGTGAGCTGGCGTGTCGTGCCGCCTGGTGAGTCCGTGCCAGCTCGCGTGTCGTGCCGCCCGGTGAGTCCGTGCCAGCTCGCGTGTCATGCCGCCCGGTGAATCCGTGAGCTGGCGTGTCGTGCCGCCTGGTGAGTCCGTGCCAGCTCACGTGTCGTGCCGCCCGGTGAATCCATGAGCTGGCGTGTCGTGCCGCCCGGTGAATCTGTGCCAGCTCACGTGTCGTGCCGCCCGGTGAATCCGTGAGCTGGCACGTCGTGCTGCCCGGTGAGTCCGTGCCAACTCGCGTGTTGTGCTGCCCGGTGAGTCCCTGCCAGCTCGCGTGTCATGCCGCCTGGTGAATCCGTGAGCTGGCATGTCGTGCCGTCCGGTGAGTCCCTGCCAGCTCGCGCGTCGTGCCGCCCGGTGAATCCGTGAGCTGGCGCGTCATGCTGCCCGGTGAATCCGTGAGCTGGCGTGTCGTGCCGCCTGGTGAATCCGTGCCAGCTCACGTGTCGTGCCACCTGGTGAATCCGTGCCAGCTCGCGTGTCGTGCCGCCCGGTGAATCCGTGCCAGCTCACGTGTCGTGCCGCCCGGTGAATCCGTGCCAGCTCACGTGTCGTGCCGCCCGGTGAGTCTGTGCCAGCTCGTGTGTCGTGCCGCCCGGTGAATTGGTGTCGTAGCCACGACACGCAGAGGCACGAGCTTTTATGGCTCAGCAGTGGCGGTGACATCAGTCCCAGCGACTGGTCCCAGCAGTGAGGTGCCCCGCACTGGGCCGCCCTCCACAGACCCTCCCACCATTCCATCTCACCCTGCCACTGAGGAGACCGAGGCAGAGATGCAGCTCACAGGGAGCCATGCTGAGACCCACGCAGTCCCACCCAGGGACAAGCCTAAGCATGCAAGGAGCCCCTCCTCAGGGTCTAGTCTTGCTGTACGTGCAATTCCAACCAACCTACCAGCTGCTTCCCTGGTCTGAGGGCTGGGACAGCTGTGATCACAAGGACACAGAAATGCTCATCAGGACAAAGTTAAGGCAGAGACCCAGGCCCCTAGGTCAGGGCAACCCTGCCTCAGTGGTCCAAGGTGGGGCTGGGGGCTGTCTGGAGGGTGGGAGTGCCTTGGGGTGGACCAGGGGCACTGAGCGGGGTCGAGGGGGCATCGGATGTGCCCTTAGGACTCTGGGCTCCTCCCCCCAGCATCTCCACAGGACACCAGCCCTGGGCCTGTCTACTTCCTGGACCCAAAAGTCACCCGGTTTGGCCGAAGCTGCACCCCTGCCTACTCCATGCAGGGCCGGGGCAAGTCTCGGGGTGAGTATCTGACCAGTGCTGCTCCACAAGGACCCTGCCTTTTCAGAGTCCTCTCCTTCCCTTCCCTTCACCCAGTTCTTGGAACTTCAGTGTCTTTGGATGACAAAATCAAGGGGCTCTGAGGAGGGGCTGGGGGCCCTGAGAGAACCTGAATGCGTGAAGTGGGCCAGGGTGACAGTGACACTGAGCACATGTGGTGCTGTGAGGGCAGCTGGGGCTCATCTTTGGCATGGGGGGGACAAAGGGCATGGTAGGGACTGTGGAGAATACAGCAATCCCCTTCACGGGCTCCAATCAACTCACTTCCACCTGACGTACCTGATTAAATGACCTGATTCCAGTCTCCCATCCACCCACCCTTTCATCTTTTGACCTATCACCCATTTGCTCATCCACTCACTGATCCTTCAGTTCATCCATCCATCCATTCACCCACCTATCTATTCAACCTACCCAACCATCCACTTGTTCAATCATCCAATCCATCTATTGATCCACTGATTCATCCATCAACCTATTTATCCATCCATCTACCTCTCCATCCACCCTCCATGTATATTATCCATCCATCCATCCATCCATCCACAATCCATCAACCCATTTATCCAGCTACCCAATCATCTACCCATCCACCCACCCATCCATCCTTCCTTTCATCCATCCATCCATCCATCCACCCAATCACCCATCCATCCATCTATCCATTCTTCCATGATCCATCCATTCATCCTTCCATGATCCATCCATTCACCCTTCCATGATCCATCCATCCACCCAATCATCCATCCTTCCATCCATCCCTCCATCATACGTCCATCCATCCATCCTTCTATGATCCTTCCATCCTTCCATCCCTCCCTCCCTCCCTCCATCCTTCCTTCCATGACCCATCCATTCATCCTTCCATGATCCATCCATCCACCCACCCAATCATCCATCCATCCATCCACAATTCAGCTATTGATCCAACTATCTACATATCCATGGATCCATTCATCTACTTATTCACTCCTTACCCAACCACTCACCACCCATCCTTCTACTCATTCATTCAAACATGTATTAAGCTGAGGAGATGAAGTAGATTTGACATACCCATGCTTTTTATAAGACCCCAGTCTGGGGCACCTGGGTGGCTCAGTTGGTTAAGCGACTGCCTTCAGCTCAGGTCATGATCCTGGAGTCCCAGGATCGAGTCTCACGTCGGGCTCCCCACTCAGCGGGGAGTCTGCTTCTGCCTCTGAACCTCTCTCCTCTCGTGTTCTCTCTCTCAAATAAATAAATAAAATCTTAAAAAAAAAAAAAAGACCCCAGTCTGGTGGTAGAGTTAGGTCCAGGTGAAGACCATCCCACCTCACTGTGCTCATGTCTGGAGGGGAAGACCCAAGCCTGGGGGAGGTCCTTGGAAGGGCTGCGAAGGCTCTGCCTAGGAGGAGGGGGTGGGAAAGGCAGCAGGAAGGAGGGGGCTTTGGGGCTGTCTGGAAGGAAGAGAAGCAGCTCCTGGGAGGTGGGAATGGGAAAATGGAAGGTATGCCTGGCAGAAGGTTGAGTGTGGGCAAAGGCCCGGAGGCTTAAAAGAGGACGGGGCAGGGGGGTGCCTGGGTGGCTCAGTCAGTTAAGCATCTGACACTTGATTTTGGCTCAGGTCATGATCTCAGGGTCCTGAGATTGAGCCCTATGTTGGGCTCACACACTGGGCGTGGAGCCTGCTTAAGGTTCTCTCTCTCTCCCTCTGCCCCACTCTCTCTAAAACCACAAAGAGAGAGGGAACAGACTACTCTACAGGGAGGTCTGGGAAGCAGGAGAGATACCTTAGGGCTGCTCGAGAAGTGCTGTGAGTTCCAGGAAGCATAGGGGCAATGGGCAGCCATGCAAGGTCTTTGAGCAGGTGAGGACTCCTGCCAACCCTCCTGTCTCATTCTTACAGGTCTGGAGGTGACACCAGGCCCTGGGGCCTACAGCCCAGAGAAGGCAGCCCCTGTGCGTCACCGGACGCCTCCGGCTTTCACTCTGGGATCCCGCCTGCGACCACAGCTCCAGGACACCTCAGCCCCTGCCCCTAACACCTATATCCTGCCCTCCCTCTGGGGCTCCCAGATATTCACTAAGCCCAGCAGCCCCAGCTACACAGTAGCAGGCCGCACACCCCCCACTCGCCCCCCTCAGGACCCTGCTGAGATACCAGGTCCTGGCCAGTATGATAGCCCAGACCCCAACACCTACCGTCAGCGCCGGCCTGCCTTCACCATGCTGGGCCGGCCCCGTGCCACACGCCCCCCGGAGGAGACTCCTGGGCCTGGTGCCCACAGACCTGAGCAGGTCACCATGACCACAGTCAGGGCCCCAGCGTTCACCATGGGCATCCGCCACTCCAAAAGGGCTACCACCATGGGTGTGGACACCACACCCTGACACCTTTGGGGTCAGGACTCCCAGCTGCCCCTGGACCGAGCCTCAGTTTACCTCTGTGGTCACATGGGGTGTGGGCAGGCCCCTCCTGAGCCTGGCTTTGGCTGGTGGGGTGCTTGGAGAAGTGGGGGGCAGGTGCCTCTTTCCTCCTTTTTTCTGAATTCTGAGGTCCTTCTAGGCCACTTGCTTCTTTTGGTCCCTGGAGGCTGTGACCCTGCGGCCCTGTGCAGGGTGAGCTTCCGTCCAGTGCCCCAGTTTCTTCCTTCTGGTCACACCAGGCCAAGTCAGGCCAGGCAGAGAAAGGGAGAGCCCCAGCCCTCCCCAGCGGCTGGCTGGGGATGAACTTCCTGTGTCCTAGAACTCGGTGTCCACCCTGCTAGGGCCTGCATCCCCAACACAGCTTGGATTTCTGCTAAACTTGGGCTCTTCCCTGCTTCTCAAGGAAGCACAGCTGCCTGCGCTGGTCCCAGCCCCAAATCAGGCTGATACCCCTCCCTCTAGGGGCCTGCCAATAAATCTCTCTGTGGTACAAGAGCTGTCAGCATCACACATGTGAGTGCATTTAACCCGCTGTCCACATCAAAGGAAGGAGACTTAAATGCTGCTCTTAAGATCCAGCCCCCCAATTCTGCAGCCCCTGGGGGACTGGATGGGACCAGAGGAGGGATCCAGGGCTGGGTAAGAGCCAGGGCTTTGAATGGGGGAAGCCAGGTAAGCTTCTTGGAAGAGGGGACATTGAAACTGGGTTTTGAAGGATGTATAGGAGTTTAATGTATTCTAATTTCCATCATCAGTAGGTGCCTACCATGTTTCAGATATTGATAAAGATCATTTAAACGTCACAGCAACTCAGGAGGCAGTCAGTGTTTACTGAGAGAAAATGGGGCTTTGGAGAGATTGGACCCTTGCCTGAGGGCACACGGTGAGCCCTTGTGTCTCTCTGATGCCAGGATTTGAATCTTGGCCATTGGGCTCTGTTCCTGCCATGCTTCCCTAGGGACCGGAAGGAAACACATGGATGGTGTCATGTGACTGAGCCTCCTGTGTGATAAGCCCAGGTCTTATAAACCCCTGACCCAGAAAGACCCTAACCCAGGAGCTTGGGAGGGACAGACTGCCACCATGAGGAGATGGCCCAGGGGTGGCACCTCAGGCATGACCTAGAGGGGTTCTGAGATGCATGACCCTTACTCTGTCCCTTTCCCCCAGCCTGGAAATGCCAAACTTGAGCATGCACCCCTTTACCTATGTAGGTGGATACACACCAGAACTCCTACACATACATGCACACCCACCCCTCAGGAGAACCCAGATGCCCCCCTCACATGCATACACATGTTCAAATCTACACACAGTAGACAAACAGGCCAACTCTCATACGGTCCACATGTATGTAGAGACACACAACACACACAAACCCAGATGGAGGCTCCAGACCCCGACAACGCCCCCCCACCAGCAGACCCCAAGGACTTGACCGCTATATACCCTCTCATCCCGACCCTGCAGATGCACCAGAGCAGTCCCAGCGTGACACACGCAGGCTTGGGGCAGCATCACCGACCCCCGCCCCACCCCAACGCCGGCCAATCCGCCGCGAGTCCCTCCCCCGCTTCGCCTCCTCCTCCACAGGCTTCGCGGGCCACCGCCAGGCTGTGATCTCATTTCTCTGATTTATCGATCCCGCTCCAGGCAGCCTCACCCCTCCTTCCCCACCTGCCCGCGCGCCCCGGCCCCCTCCCTTTGTTTCCCGGCAGTCAGCCCCACCCCAGGCGGGGGAGGGGAAGGAGGCTCTGTCGAGACTGAGGCCAGGAGGCTGGGTCCTGCGATGACCGTGGCCTCTCGACCCTCGGTGCAGAAGGAATCAGCCTTTGAGGTCTGGGTGGGGGACAAAGAGGCTGCGGACGGAGGGGCAGGCCGGCCTGAGAGGCCGAGGCCCAAGAGTTCAGTTGGGTTGATGCCAGACAGAGCTCCCCAGAAATAGAGGAGGAGCCCGTGACCCCCCAGCTCATGCCCCTGGCTTACAGCCTGGAAAACTGAAGCCCAGGGAAGAGCAGCAGAAGGGGGACTGGGCTTCGCTCCTCCCTCCCAGACCCAGACAGCCCAACCCACACTCCTGGGCCCGAGTCTCCGCTGCGTGCCCCTCTCTGGGTGTGTTTCCTCATTAGGAAACCGAGCAGGGCATAATTTTCAAGTACCTTTCAGGTGGAACAGTGGGAAGGGAGGGGCCTGACCTTAGGGTTTGGGGCTCTCTCCTTCCCTGACCGCGTCCCCACCCCTTTCCAGGCGTCAGTTTTCCCACCAGTCAAAAACGGGAGAAGGCAGGTGATTTCTGTCTCTCCCACCTCTGTCCTTCAAGGAATTTGGGCAACGGGTGGGGGCGAAGCTGGGGTCGCTGTCCGGGTCTTGGATTGGAAACATTGCTCCCTCCCTGGCTGCTGGATCCGAGGCAGCGTCCATGCCTTCAGCGGGCCTCAATTTCCCCAGCCTCCCTGCAGGCGCCGGGACGCCCAGGGCCCGGGTCCCAGGGGCGCAGCCCCCCGCGGCTGCGCGCTGGGACGGGCGGATGACATCACCGGGCCGGGGGGCGGGGAGGGAGCGGGAGGCAGCGGGACGGAGGGGAGGGCCTCCTCCGCGCCAGGCGCAGCGCCCGGTCGGGCTCGGTCGGGCGACCGCGGCCATGACGCAGGGTCCGGGCGGGCGCACGCCCCCCGCACCTCCTGCGCCCCCGGAGCCCGAGGCGCCCACCACCTTCTGCGCGCTGCTGCCGCGCATGCCGCAGTGGAAGTTCGCCGCCCCTGTGGGCTTCCTGGGCCGGGGCCCGGCGGCACCGCGCACGACCGGGGGCGCGGGGGCCGCCGACTCCCAGCCCGAGCCGGTCGGCCCGGCGGGCGTCCCAGCGCTGGCGGCGGCGGTCCTGGGCGCCTGCGAGCCGCGCTGCGCCGCGCCTTGCCCGCTGCCCGCGCTCAGCCGCTGCCGGGCCGCCGGGGCCCGGGGACCGCGCGGTGCGCGGGGGGTGGCCGGGCCCCCGGACGCCGCCGCCGACGAGTGGATCCGCAAAGGCAGCTTCATCCACAAGCCGGCGCACGGCTGGTTACACCCAGACGCCAGGGTCCTGGGGCCCGGGGTCTCCTACATCGTGCGGGTGAGTGCGCCGGCCGGGATCCCTGGGATTACATCTTCCCCGGACTCCTAGGTTGGGGCTCCCCTTCCCCCTTCTCTTCGACCCTGAGAGCCAGGTCTCTCTTCTCTACCCTTACTCCTCTCCCCACCACCCCGGACCCCCATCTCCAGCCTGCGCGACGCTGGCCGCCCCCAATGGGGCGGTGCTGGGGTCAGGGTTCCCACGGCGTCACGTGGGGAGGGGCGGGGAGAGGGCGGCAGGTGGGTGGAGAACACGCATGCGCAGGTGAAACATTCTCCCTCTCCATTGGTATTGCTAGAGGAGTCGGTGGGGGGAGGGCTTCGGTGGGCGCATCCTATCCCCCCGACCACCATTAAAAAGCGTCTTCGCTGACCGCCGGGTCGGAACCTGCAGATGCCTTGGCCAAGGTGGGGGGCGCGGGGAAGGGGTATCTGGAAAGGGGCCGCGCCCAGCCAGACCGCAGGATTCGATGGGAGACTGTGGGACTCGGGATGGGGTGTAAAGCGAGGGACCTTCTTTTATCCTGGTGCTTTATTGTGAACCTTTCAAACAGACGGAAGAGTCGGACGAATAGAGCACCTGTGTATCTCTACCTACGACTGTAAACATTTTACCTTCTCTACGCAAATGTCTACCCCTGTGTGTGCTTTTCGGCGAACCAGTAGAGTAAGCTCCCCCTGTGACACTGACTGTTGAGTGCTTCCGCGCGGTCTCCCAAGAAAGCGGTCATCTTACCCACAGCTCATTGTTCCGTCTGAGAAATCACCAGAGATTCCAAAATGTCATCGAATATTGGGCAGGATTCACACCCCCTCGATTGGCTTTTTGGGACCAGGACCCTGGAAGTTAATGCGTTTGCATTTGGTTCTGTCTGTTCCCTTTACAACTGTCCCCAACACTTCCTGTCCCGTCTCTCCCAGGGCTCAGTTGAGTAGTGTCCTCTGCTGAATTCATGTCCATGGGCACCTACAAATGCAGGCTTCTTTAGAAATAGGGTCTTTGTAGACATAATCAAGTTAAAATGAGGTCATCCTGGAGTAGGCTGGTGTCGTCGTCAGAAGAGGGAAATGACACAGACAGGGAGAAGCCACGTGAGGAGAGAGGCAGAGGTTGCAGATGCTGCCACAGGCTTGGGGGCCCAAAGGGTTGCTGCTTACCACCCCCAGGAGCTGGAGGAGGCTGGAAGGACCATCCCCTGGGGCCTCCAGAGGGTACGTGGCCCTGCCTACACCCTGATTTTGGACTTCTGGGTCTCCAGAGCTGGGAGAGCATACCTCCCATGGTTGTAAGCTGCCCGGCTTGTGGTACTTTGTTATGGCAACTCCAGGACAGTACTGTGTCCCTGGTAGTGTCGCCATTTTGAGTGTCCCCCCGACCCTCCCTCCTCCATGCGTGGTCTGGGTCTGAGCATCGTATCACAGGGGAGCCTAGGAGATGCATAGAGCCTCAGGCCTAACCATGGACTTGCCAGGGCCATGGACTGCCCCACACCCGGGATCTGGCCCTTTTCTTGTGGCATCTTTTAACTTGGTGCCTTGCCCTTTCTTTTCCTGAATCCTGGCAATGGGTCTCCTGGCTTGACTGGGTTCAGGAATGGCTTTGTAGCAAGGATGTTTCATGGATGGTTCTGTGGACTTCAAGCACGGGGAAGCCGAGTCTGCCCCTTGGCTGTGGGTACGGGGGGTTTAGAATGTTCAGAATTCAGATGCTTGCATTGCGGGGTGCAGGCTGTTGGGTTATTCCCATGATCATGACTTTTTTGTCAACGCAGCAAATATCAAATGCATGCCCGTCCTGCCGGGCACTGACGACCTGGTGGGAAATAAGGAAGATCTGGTCCCTGCTTTTACCGGGCTTAGATTCTAGAGACAGTAAATACAGAAGAGAACAAATAAATGGCAGATCTTGGCAGGTGCTAAATTAAAATGCAGAAATTTAAATAAAGTGATGCCAGAGTAAGCAACTGGGTGGTTACTTCAGCAGGGGTAGTAAGGGAAGGCATCTCTCGGGAGATGACATTTAGACTGAGACCTGAAACCATGAGGCCTCAGACACGAAACAACTAGGGAAGAGAGTTCCAGGCAGGGGCACAGCAAGTGCAAAGGCCCAGTGGCAGGGAATGAGCTTGGCATGTTTGGGTAACAGCAGGGGACCCATGTGTCTGGAGCTTATGGAGAGAAGGAGAGGAATAAGAGATTTGTGGGCAAGTTTGCGTGTAGGTGGTTTTAAGCAGGGATCAAAGGGTGGAGTTTGAAGTTTTGAAAGGGTCTTTCTGGTAGCTCTGTGGAAATGGGGTGGGGGTGAGGGCTAGAAGGGCCGCGGAGGGACCCAGGAGGGGGCAAGGAGAGATGACCTGGACCAGGGCAACATGGGGGTGGAGAGAAGGGGGGACACGTCTGTGGAGATGGAGCCCGCAGGTGTCTCTGATAGATGAAGGGCCCTGACCTGGGCCCCATGGGGTCTGAATCAGTCTCGGTCCTCTGCTTTGTTTGCCTGGAAGCCTCACAAAACCCTAGAATGATCCCTGTTTGAGATGAGAAGGCGGAGCCCTGGCAGACAGAGACGGGAATTTGGTGTCTGAGTTCTAGGCGCACAGTTGAGTGCTGTGCGTGGATCGGTGTGCATTATCCTCACAACCCTGAGGTTGCCCACCCATTTTACAGATGAGATGTCTCCGGCTGCATCACCCTAAACCGCACTCAGAGCATTGAGGTACAGGATGTCCATTTTCTCACGTGAGAAGAGACCCCGGGAGGCAGCTCTGTGGCTGTTTAACTCAGCAGCTCGGTGACCTCATCATGGATCCAGGCTCTGTTCATCTGTGTTGGGGTGAATAACATCCCCCCAAATTCATGTCCACCTGGAACCTTAGAACGTGATCTTGTTTGGAAACAAGGTCTTTGCAGATATAATTAAGAAGAGGTCATGCTGGAGTAGGGTGGGCCCTGAATCTAATGTGTCCTTGTAAGTTGTGTGAGGACACCTGGAGAAGGGGGCCATGTGAAGAGGGGGGCGGAGAACAGAGTGACCTGGCTGCCGTACAGGGACACCAAGGACTGCCAAGCTCTGGAGGAGGCAGGAAGGACCCTCCTTGGGGTTTCCAGCCCTGAACACCTAGATCTCAGGTCTCCGGTCTCCAGACTGTGAGAGAATATGCTTCTGTTGTTCCACGCTGCCCCATCTGTGGGGTGACAGCCACCCCAGGAGACGAGTACGCCACCCTTGACATTGACTTCCCTCTCAGACCAGGTCCTCTCCTGGCTGTCCCACCATCCTACAGAAAAGAGCGTTCTTCCCGTGGGGTCCTTTCATGAGTAAGGGAGCCTTTCCCAGAAGTGCCCAGCCAGCTTCCCCTCATGTCTCATTGGCCAGAGTTGTGTCCGGTGAACTTTGCCTAAACCAGCTGTGTGGTGAACCTAGATCATCACTGCCCAAAGACCTTCCTGAGGCGATGGAATGTTGGAGATCTCTGCTGTCCAATATGGTAGCCCCATGTGGCCACGGAGCCCTTGAAATGTGGCTAGTGTGACAAACGAACTAAATTTTAATTTTACTTAATTTTAAATTAAATTCAGGTGGTCATACGAGACACGTGCTTGCCCTGTTGGACAGCTCAGCTCTAGTTGTCCCCGATCTTCTGACCTTTCTGAAGGGTGGATGTCTGAGCAAAATTTTGTTGTTAACAAAGTGAACCCGGACTGTGGACAAGCCAGAATTTGCATCAAGCTCTGTGGATCACCAGTCCTGTCTTCCTCTCACTCATACCATTTTGACACATTGGACTTCCCCTTTCACAAAAATTCCACTGATAGGACCTTTCCGCTTTTTAAATTTTTAAAAAAGATTTTATTTATCTATTTGAGAGAGTGTAAGCGGGAGAGAGGGAGCACATGAGCAAGGGCAGAGGTAGAGGAGGAAGCAGGCTCCCCGCTGAGCAGGGAGCCCGATGTGGGGCTCGATCTCCCACCCCTGAGATCATGACGTGAGCCGAAGACAGATGCGTCACTCACGGATCCACCCAGGCGCCCCGAGAGCTTTCTGCTTCTTTGAGGTGCCCTCACTCATGCCCTCTCACAAGCTCTCCGTGAACGAAAGTTTCTCAGCTGTGTGCCCAGCTCTGCTCATGGTGCAGTGGGGCACAGAAAGACAGTGACCCTGGCCAGGTGGACTGGTTCTGGCTGGGGAGGGAATGGAGCTCAAGCCTGCACACATGTCAGTGAAATGACCAGGACTCTGTGTCACTCAGTTTTTCCTGAAGTGTGGTTTTCATATGCTGGTGATATGCAAGGGAACCATGGGAGGTTAACTGAGTAGAGATGTTTTTACCTGAAATACAGCTTATTCCTCAAAGCAAGGGGTAGGGTGTCTCCAGGATGACTTAATTCAGTGGCTTGACAACATCCTTAAAGACCTGGGTCTTTCCATCTTTTTGTGCTGCCATCTTTAGCATGCTGGCTTAGCTGCCCTCATGGTCACAAAATGGCAGCCACAGCACTAGGCATCACACATGGATCCAACCATGTACACTGGAAGAAAAAGACTATCCCTTCCTTAGTTCTCTTTGTAAGAGACTGTCCACCATTCCCCCCACCCCACCCTGCCACACCTCATTGGCTCCAAATGGCAAAATCCATTCATAGCAAGGGGGATGGGATTACCAGATTGGCTTAAACCAATGCTGAACAGTGTGTGGTGCCCAGACATCTGGGAACTTGTTATAAATGCCCATTCTTGGGCTCCACCCCAGAGCTGCTGAGTCAGAAACTCGGGGTGGGCCCAGCAATCAACGTTTCCTGGTGATTCCAACATCCGTTAATGTTTGGGAACCACCAGTTTAAGACAACTGCTTGTAGTCCTGTTGGATTAACTGCTACTTATTTATACCCAGTATTTCATAACCCTCCACCACGAAGCGAACTTCAAATGTATATATATGTAACACCTCCCTGCACATTTATTTCCCCTGAGAATTGATATGATGTAACAAAGCAGCAATAAAA